GCCCCGGGACGGGTTGGGTTTCCCTGGGGGACAGGAGCCCCCCCAGTTATGCCCAGGCAGGCAGCGGGTGCCCCGCATGGTGCCAGCCCCCAGCCCAGCTCCCTGTGCTGGGTCAGCCCCTTGGGCAACTCCTCCTGCTCCTGCCTCCCTGCTCCAAGTGAGGGAAGGAGTCTGGGCTGTTTGCTCAGCTCACGGAATGCAAACTAACAACACCCAGGTTTGGGTTTCAAAGGACATAAAATCCGCACTCCCAGTTATCCCCTGACAGGGGGAGGTGGCAGCTCTCGGGCATCGGTGGCTGGGGGGGGAATAAAAGGGGAAAAAGGCACCATGTGTCCTGCTGGGGGAGAGAAAATGGACCTGAAGAGGCAGATTCAGCGTGGGTGTCAGACCCACAGTGTTCATCTTCCCCCAGTGCTCACCCCCTTTGGGAGCAGTGCCCTCCCCCGAGCAGTGCCCTTGGCACCCACCCTGCCACCAGTCTGTGTTCAGAGCCCTCAGGTGGGTGCTCCCAGCCCTGCTCTCCTGCATGCCTGGGGAACCACCTTGTCTCCCTGGGGCTGAAACAGAGGGAATGCAACCAGAGAAGCCTGGAGATGCTTGCTCAGCAAGGTTGGGTCAGCTCTCTGGGCTGTGTGTGCCCATGGCAGGGAAAAGCCCCCCGAGTAACCCCACGAGAGGCAGGTGGACACAGGAGGTGACCCAAAGCCAGCTGGGCATCTGGATGCTGTCCTGGCACCTCTGGGTGACACCCCACTCCCAGCACAGCACCAGTGGCTCTCACCAGTCCGAGAGGTGGGGCAGCAGCTTGCAAGGGAGCAGAGCTGGAGGGCTGGGTCCTTGGACAGAAGGGTGCTGGTGGAGCACGACGGGCTGCCACGTCCCTTCCACCACCCCCAGAGAGATCAGGACTCCTTTCTTCCCCTCTGGTGTTTTTAAAACAAGCACAACTCTTACCATCCATCGACTCCTGACTTCTGCAGCTCAGAAATCCCATTTCCTGCTGGTCAGATCCCAGTCCCAAATCTCCACAGACAACCGCCTGTCCTTGTCTGCCTCCTTCAGCTGGCTGCAAGAGGGGAAAGCAAAAGGGATGGCTTTAGCCTGGCAGCCCTGGCTCTGCCCCCCTGCCCCTTCACACTCCCTCAGAACACAGATGAAGACTGAAGGGATGGTCTTTGATGACCATTGGGCTTTAACATCCTGGTCAGATCCCAGTCCCAAATCTCCACAGACAACCGCCTGTCCTTGTCTGCCTCCTTCAGCTGGCTGCAAGAGGGGAAAGCAAAAGGGATGGCTTTAGCCTGGCAGCCCTGGCTCTGCCCCCCTGCCCCTTCACACTCCCTCAGAACACAGATGAAGACTGAAGGGATGGTCTTTGATGACCATTGGGCTTTAACATCTCATCTCCTGGGCACATCTGCTGGGAGGGAGGACACAGAGCTCCTGCCCTGGCACGCTTGGCATGGACCAGAGAGCAGGGCAGGGGTCTGAGTGTTTCTGAGCCACACTCACAGCACTGCAAATAATTATTTCTGAGTTGAATCAGCTTAATGTCTTTGAATAATTAAATCAGAGCAAATACAATCACATTCATTCTTAGGGATAAGAAAAATTAGTTTACAAGTTCAAATGTTTTTCTTGTACTTACAATTTAAATGTCTCGTTCCACTCAGGATTCAGGGAGCACTTGATAGTTTTGGTCTTCTGTTTGCTTTCATTTTTGGGGTCAGGGATTAGTTTAAGCTTCACATAGGGATCTGACAAGCCATTAGGATCCATAGGAACTAGGTTTTTAGCATCTCTTACTGGGGAGGGAAAAAAAAAAAGGATTAAATTCAGTATTCAAACAGTAAAAATAGCCAATAATTGACAAGTTCCCTGTGTGCCAAGAGTGAGTGTGAAAATAGTGATTAAAACAGAATTAAAACTGAATATATGCAGACAGACATTACATGAGGAACAACATGCAACCCATGAAAAGCAAATCCAGCTCTAGTGGGCACGGGAGGCTGGGGGATCAGCTCGAGGGTGTTTGCACTTCCCAACAGGACCATTCGTTGCTCGCTCTGGGTTTTAAGCAGTGTAAAGTTGCTTTGTTTCCTCTTGCACCCTGGTGAGCAGCACTGCACCAACCTGCACCTTTCCTGGGGAGAGGTGGGGGCACAGGGACGGTGCTGTCCATGGAGAGTGGCCCCGAGGGACGAGTCTCCTGGGGAGCAGGAGCAGCACAGGAGCAGCAGAGGGGGAGCAGCCCTGAGGGTGACCTCAACTGCTTCTCACTGGATCGTTGCTTTGACAAAATATATACAGTCAGGTTGATGTAAGTCTGTTTCCCCAGATTAAGTCAAAAAGGGTCTTATCTTCCCTCCAGGCTGAGCAGAGATATTGGAGATGGAGAGTCTGACAGGACAGGATGGAGCACAGCTGTAAGCAGGGGAAAAGCTGCTTGTGAGGAAGCCCAGAGCAGCATCTCCCCCTCTGCAGGCAGCAGACACAGCTCCCAGGGGTGCTTTTGCAGGCTCTCCTCCCCAGACCCCTCAGGGCTGAGCAGGCAGCACTGCCCGGGCAGCAGTGGGGCTTCCCTCCTGCCAACACACCCCCAGCCCCTCCCTGGCAGCGGGCATGGTGCCCACCAGCATCTCCTCAGCATGGTGCCACTCATCATCTCCCCAGGTCTAGTGCCCGCCTCGGGGACTGGGCACAGGGGTCATGCCCTGCTGGGAACAGGGAACCTGGCACTGCCCAAAATCCCACCAGGTCACACCAGCAGCTCTGCTGTGAGGTTCCAACCCCCCGCTCCAGCAGCTCACACACAGCAGGGTGCCCAGGATGGTGTCCAGGCAGGTTTGGAATCTCTCCAGAGCAGGAGACTCCACAGCCTCCCTGGGCAGCCCGTTAAAAGATACGCCCAGAGAGTCAGCAAGAGTAAAAACAGTTGCTCAGTTCCCAAACCACCAGGATGATGTTTCTGAGGCAAGGCTGGCAGCCAGATATTTTTTGAAAAGCGCATGAATGATCCAAAATGTGCAGTGGACTGCTCTCCTCCTGAAGCACTGCCCCATTCCCAGCTCCACGGAATAAAACTTGGAGCCAAAATTCAAATCTGCATTTAGAAACTAGCTCATTTATCAAACGTGGCACCACAGCAGCAGCTCAGGAGGTGGAGGGAGGGGAAGCCACGGGCAGGTGCCCAGGCAGGTGCCCACTCCAGCCACACACCAGGCTCCTGACCTGCCTCTGGCTGATGTCCTCCCTGACAGCCCCAGAAGCAGGGAGAGCTGGCGAGCTGGCCGTGGACACTGTCACACCCAGGACAGGTGGGATCTCCTTGCTGGGAGGTTGAGCCCCCACCAGTGGGGTCAGGGATGGGGCCCCAGCATCTGCTCGGGGTCAGCACTTACAAGGAGCTCTCTGTGCTCATGAGCAAGAAGCACCTTCAGAGACTGGAAAAGGGGGAGGACACGTGGTGAGGCTCTGGCCCCCAGGTCCCCTCCCAAAGGTTAGAATCATAGAATCGTTTCAGTTGGAAAAAATCTTTAAAATCATCAAGCCCAACCATTAACTCAACCCTATAAAGTCCACCACTGAACCACATCCCTAAGAACCACATCTGCACAGCTTTTAAATGTGTCCAGGGACAGTGTTTGAACTGCCCTGGGCAGCCTGGGCCAGGGCTTTACAACCCTTTCAATGAAGAAATTTTTCCTCATGACCAGCCTAAACCTCCCCAGGTGCAACCTGAAGCCTTTCCCTCTTGTCCTAGAACTTGTTAGGTGTGATAAGAGACCATCCCCACCTTGCTTCAACCTCCTTTCAGGTTGCTTAGGTACCAGTGACCTGCTGGGACGCAGAGACCCTGCCCATGGCACTGCTCCAAAATCTGCCCTCATCCCCTGGAGGGTGCTGAGGAGGACACAGGAGCATCCTAAAACCTCCTGTGAGAGGATGCCCAAGGAGGAGCATTCACCCTTCTCGTACCAGAGAGGACCGAGGCTCACAATTTCTTTTCTCCACAACAGGTATCTCAGGAGTAAAATATCAGACCTGAGCATCTCTAACATCACGACAACTACTTTCATGTGCCATTGAATGAATGAATCTTGGTGTGGTTTGTTTTGTTGTGTTAGGTCTGGACATAGACCAGCTCTGCACCTCAGAGGATGCACAGTAGTTGTTCCGTGGCTTCATCTGGACTCGCAGTCAAAATCTTTTCCAGGAAGCTCTGTACCCTCCAAGCAGAAAGTCTTGCAATCTGCTGGGTGAAATCTTTAAGTAATGAGTTTAATTTCCAAGGGCCCCGCCAAGGCTCTGCACTGATACAGCTGGAACACCTTCCTCTCCCTCACCCCTTATCAGAGCAGAACACGTATTTCCTCACCACCGTCATAAGCTTTTATCTGTGCCTTTTTGATGGGAAAAAAGGCAATCTTCACAACCGTGTTCTTGAATTATAAACCAGAAAATGTATGAGAGAAAAGTCCCACAATAGGTCCTGCCGAGGCAGCACCTGACTGGCGAGGAGCCCGCAGGGGGAGCGGCCGCCGGGGGGGTTGGGAATGCACAGCAGGAAACTGTGAACTGCAAATAAACTTCTGCTGTGTGCAGGTGTGGGAAGAGCCACACGTGTGTGCAGATGTGGGAAGAGCCACACGTGTGTGCAGATGTGGGAAGAGGTGGGAAGAGCCACACGTGCGTGGATTTTTTTCCCAGACCCCCCAGCTCCTGCCCGGCTGCGCTTGGGCTCAGCGTTCACCCCAGTGCCCCCTGCAGAGAGGGGCCCTTCGGTCCCTCCATCCTCTGGGGACAAACGAGTAACCCCCCATTGTTCAGCAGCCCATTGTTCACTTCTTCAGGGAATAGGAAAAATAATTCCTGACCCTCACAGTCAATCAGTTTAAGCCCTGAAGCATGAGATGTGATTACCTCATGTTATTATCTCAGCACGCAGACCTAAAAATTTCATTAATGGGAATAATTTTATCTTTTCATTTCAAATACAAAATGCTTCTCCTCGACCTGAAGTAACTTTCTGACTTTTCAAGCAGAAACCAACAATTAAGTGAAAGAAACATAAAACCCTCAAGGAGTGGAGTGGTGATGCCTCGAGTCAGCAGAGACGTGCTCCCCTCCAGCCGTTCCTTTGACAGCTAAATCTGATGTCAAACAGGTTTACATCTGTCTTATTCTGACAGTTTTGTGCATCATTAAGTAGTAACATCATTATTAAAAGTGATGAGTAAGAATATTATGATCCCATTTAAAGCAGATGGTCTTAAATCACTGTGGGTACTAAGCCCAGCTATGGTTGAGAAGCTGTGCTGGATTCAGGCTACGCTCAGAGGGAGCAGAACCCCAGCGTGGGGGCTGGAGGGGATCTCTGGAGATCATCTCATCCCACCCCCTGCTCCAGCAGCTCACCCACAGCAGGGTGCCCAGGGTCACAGCCAGGAGGGTTTGGGATCTCTCCAGAGCAGGAGACTCCACAGCCTCTCTGGGCAGCTGCTCCAGGCTCTGCACCCTCACACCAAAGAAGTTTCTCCTGCTGCTCAGGTGGCACCTCCTGGGTTCCAGTTGGTGCCTGTTGCCCCTTGTCCTGTCACTGGGCACCACTGACCAGAGTCTGGCCCCAGCCTCTTGCCCCCCGGGGCCCTTTAGCTCTTGCTCAGCACTGCTCAGATCCCCTCTGAGGCTTCTCCAGCTCAGCAGCCCCAGGGCTCTCAGCCTGGCCTGGCACAGAGATGCTCCAGGCTGTGCAGTATCTTTGGAGATGTCTTAGTAAAAGGGTCTTGGACTTCAATGGATTCAGGGGTGGGCTGGGGCAATGCTGGCAGTGCCCACATTCTCTGCACACTGGGTGCCCGTGCATGCTCAGGGGACATGTGGGTGTGCACGTGGGTGTGTGAGCGCCTGGCACTGCCCAGGGCACCACAGGGAGCGTGGCACTGGCCTGAGGACACCATTGCCATGGCCAGGAGATGTCACCCACTGCGACATGTAGGACCAGAGCAGGCAGAGCTGGTTGAATGATATCTGAATATCTGTTCTGCAAAAACTGCAATAGTTTCCATATAAATTATTCAGACAACATCTTTTAATTACTCAGCCAGCCGTAACTGCAGGAACAGGCTTGGGAAGAGACACTCATTTCAAACACCCTCATCTCCAGGGGAAGGCAGGGGGAGCAGGATGGCCACAGCGACTGCCCAGAGCAGGAGGAACACGGGCTGTCCAGGCAGCCTCTCTGCCCCTGGAGGGCACAGCCAGAAGCTCACAGCAGCTGGGGGCAGAGCAAGGCCCCTCCAGCTCCTCCAGCTCCAGCAGGAGCTGTGCCCTGGGGAAGGGGGACAGGCAGCCCTGGGGGATGGCACAGGACAGGGGTGCAGAGCTCGGGGTGCCCCCTGTCCCCACCCCAGTGATGGGGAGGGCTCCTGCAGGTCTCCACCAGGGGAGGGCACGTCACTGCAGCTCCCACCTCTGCGTGGCATGGTCCCACTGAGCTGCTGCCACCTCGAGAGGATGCTCCCAGGACTGTCCTTCACCTGGGGCAGGACCAGCCCCACATCCAGCAAAGGGGGCTGGTACCCCATTGGCAGCTCCCTGTGCAGACCACAGCCCAGCTCTAGGTCTGCTCCTCACCTTCAGAGCTGCTCCCCCCTGCCCCAGAGCAGCCCCCCCTGCCCCAAAGGGCTGTGCTGGCCCCACGCCTGGGCACAGGGGATGCTGCACAGCCCCACACCCACGGGCCACAGCCAGCCCCTCACCTGCCAGGGGTCCCAGCTCTGCTCACGGCTGGTACCCACCTTTCTGTGTACTAGAGAAATAAAGACCAGAAAGTTCTTTGCTAAATATGCAGTGCCAGAGTGGGGTTCGTTTTTCTGTAAAAAAAAAAGAAAAAGCCCACAACAAAACCCACTCCCACCCCACCCTTAGAGACAGCTTCCACTGCTGCCAAATCCCTTCCCCCAGCTCCCAGCGAGCTTGTCCAGCCCCCCCACCCAGTATGGACAGTTCTGCTGCTCATGGAACAAACCACCCCCTCCGAGAGCCCTGCTGGTGCCAGGGAGAGCCCAGAGCTCACCCACCTCATGCCACAGCAGCAGCACCCCCGGAGGGGAAGGCTCCAGGCACTCCTCCTCCTCCTCCCCAGCACACCCCATCCCTGCTGGGGAGCAGCCACAGCCCAGTGAGTGCCCAGTGCTGGGATTAACA